TGGAGATTTAAGCAAAGCCTTGTTTATTCCTTGCAGTTGTATATTCACAACCCAGGAAACAAGCCAACTTGTTTCTGATGGACAGAGGGAACTATGCCAACTTCACCATGTTTACAAGTGCTTTTTGCCATTGCATCATCAATTCTTAGGAACTAAGACCAAATTTTATTTGTGGGCTTTTGGCTTCTGGTCTCCTTTGCATTCCTCTCATTTTGTAGTTGTGCGTATTGATTGTGATCGTTTTATCCCTCTGTTACCTGGTGGCTGTGACTGACTTGCTGTGTAGTGTTTTTCTGTGACCTCAAGCATACCGTTGGCAGGGCAGAGAACTCTGCCGGCAGATTGAACCATTGCTGGCCCTTTCCTCACGTTTTCTTCTCCCAGGAGTTTACAACTTTAGATGAAATGCATGGTTTCATAAGAAGGAAAACAGATGATAATTTTAGTATTTAGATGAAGAAGCAAAACAACTTTGAATAAAAGATGAATATTGATTTTTCAAAAAATGTGTTTACCAAGAATTGCAGAATTGTGCATCATTTGATTTCATTTCAGATTTGTTAATAATGTGCTAATGGAAACTGGCCACAAAGAACACACTTAGTTTGGATTTTAAAGTACAGACAATGTGAACTTATTAAAACTTATGCTAAAGCAATAATGATACCACTCTTGTTGGTTGGTAGGTTATCTAAAATTCTTGCTGAAATCCGGATTTAAGATAGCATGGCTCTTCACACCTGTGCTGGAATTCAGGTTAGTGGGGAGGTAGAAGGTTTTCCTAAAGCCATGGCCATTCTTCACCTTTTTAAGTAATTATTTCTTTATAGAGAGAGTAGATTGCCATAAATTTAGTTTATGCTTTCTTGGTCCCGATCATATTCAGGATACCTCTCTGAGTTTCTCCCATTCGGTTCAAATAACACTTACTGAGTGTCTACTGTATCCACGGCTCCAGACTGCCACACACAAATGGGTACAACAGCCCCTGACCTCAGGAAGTTGGCAGTCTAGTGGAGAGAAAGACGTAACAGATAATTCTAATACAATTCAGTTAGACTGGGACTGGATTTGGAATGTTTCAGAAATTCTCTAGTCACATTTTAAACAGTCTCTTGGGTTATGTCCACAGATGGCTCATTTCCTCCATTATGTTTCAATCCATCCTAACTTCATCCTGGATTTTCAGTTTATCTTACTTTATTCTTGTTTCGTCTTTGATCAAAAAATCTTAAGTACAGCACTACCATTAAAATAATACAGAAAGTATCCATGTGCAGACATGGAAATGATCCTACACCAATCAGTAAAAAATGTGATTTGCCTTAGTAGGCCCAGGATAAATCCCACTTGTGAAAATATATTTTTAAAAATATATAAATACATAAAATACATAAATATATCCAATTGGATATTGGATATGATCTGAACATATTTGGAAGAATATATGCCCATCTGTTAGCAATGGCTACTTTGGGGAAATGGGTTGGGAAGAGAGAGGCTTCAACTTTTTGTTTCAAATAATTCTCTGATTTTTTTTTGAACTTAAAACATTTCTTTAAATATTTTTGGGGAAAAACATGTTGGTTAGCTCTCCATTAGGGTAGCCCCCCAAAATCCAAACTACAGTAAACTAAATGTCCTTCTCTGAAAACTTAATCCACTCCTCCCATCTTAATTTCTCCCAACCTGCTATATAAATCTTCCCATGAAGCCAGCCTCCCCTAACACACTGAACATATTCATTAATGTTTTAAATCAACATGTATGTGCTGAGCGTTTACTACGTATACTGGGAATTTCAGAGAAGAAAACAGCTTCAGTCAAGTGGCACACTCCCTCACCTCCTCTGTTTTTGATTCATGTCCTCTCCTTTCTGTGTGCTCTTCAAGGACCACCTCCTCTAGGAAGCCTTCCTTTCTTTCTCCTTCCTCTGAATTTTATAGTATTTAGTCTGTACGCGTCTTTTGAAGATTCATACCATCTAGATTAAAGGTTCTAAGAGAACAGAAATCAGATCACCTACTTACATACTTTCAGCCTTCATTTATTAGTCATGTATTATAAAGTGAATACAGTAAGGATAGATTAGGGAAGCTGGCACAGTCCACACCCTCCTGAAGTGGAGAAAAGCTCCATGACACATGTAATGATACAAATAACCCACTCATGAGTAGTGTGCTGAGTACTATGAAAGAGAAATAGAGAGTCCTAAGAGGATAAATATCAGGGAAATGTGATGGACTGTGGGTAGGGTTTGGAAAGGCTTCCCTGGCGAGGTTCAGTTTAGCTGGGATTTGAGGCGTGAGACAAGGTGCTTAGAGGGAGGGCTGCAGATGGGAAGAACATGGTGCACAGGAGGAGGTGAGCGAAGGCAGAGGCAGCTGAAACTTAGTGAGAGGAGTATGGCTAACAGAAGAGGCTTGTATGCCACCTTAACAAATTTGGACTTCCTTCTAGAACAAGGGGAGCCACTGGATGCTTTTAATTGGAGGAAGGACAAAATCACACTTGCCTTTCAGAAAGGTCCTGCTGGCTGAGGAGAGGGTGTGTGGTTAGAGAGAGCCTGGGCATTTCTAGCAGCGCCAGACCAGTATGTACTCACCTATTTGTGGACTGATTGCTAATTTAGTGAATGTTCTTCCATCAGGTTAACATGTCCCTTTACATCTCTATGTCTCACAATCCATCTGGCACCATTTCCTATGGCCTCTTCCCTACCAGTCTGCAAATAACTCCAGATTTTTCCTCTTTTAAAAAACATGCAATTCACGAGACACTACTCAAATCACCAAGACACATGTTAAAAGGCAACTACTTCACTTTGGTAATCAGTGAACTGCAATGATAAACCTCTATACCACTTATCAGAAAGAGGAAAATATAAAAAGAGTGACAATACCTAGTGTTGTCAGGGACTTTGGTACTCTGCTGTTAAAAGTATAACTTTGCTCACCTTCTGTGGAAAACTGGCAGTACTTCCTAAAGAATGAGCATACTTTTACCCTACGACCCAGCAAATGCACCAAGAAATTCATGGCGGCATTATTCACAATAGCCCCAAACTAAAAACAGCATATTAACATGGGTAAATAAACTGTGATATAGTCATACATTGAAATACTGAAAAGCACTGAAAAGAAAAACCACAGTTACACCAACAATATAATGTAGAACAAAGAAGCCAGACATGAAAGAATATATACTCTGATTCTAATTACATAATAAGGGCTTAAGTTCCATCTATGCTGTTAGACGTCAGGCTAGTGGTTACCTTTTACGAGCTCGGGAGGTGGGTAGAGTTTGGGAAGGGTATGGGCATGGGTGTGTCTAGGGTGTTCATTATGTTCTATTTCTTGACCTGGTGGGTGTTTCAGGAGTGTGATTCCTTTGTGATATGTCACTGAGCTGTGTGCTTAGGATTGTCCACTCTTCTGTATGCATATTGTATTTTGATTAAAAAGAATAAAACAGGAAAGAAGAGATTAGGATTCTGTCCTGAAGAAATAAAAAAGAAAGCTCAAGACATCCACCCTGTCTCCTTCCCAGCCCTGAGTCTGTGGCAAGGATAACCTGAGACTTTAGCTTGATTGGTTCTCTCTCTCTGATCTCTCCTGATGTCATCTCCCTCTCCACAGTCCCCCCGGCAGGTTGCACACTGGGGTTTGCAATAGGACCCTCAGTGCTAGGCTGTGGTCAACTCTGGTTTTGAAGGTTTTGAAGGAATCTTTTTTTTTAACCTTGGTTCCGACTTGCTTCTCCTTAAGTCTTTGGATCATGCCTTTTGGTTAGTTATTTAACCCACTCACTTAGCTTCTCCAGAGCATTTTCTTCCTTTTTCCCACTCCTGTACCCTGGGCAGAACGCTCTCTTTGCACACTTTTGAATTGTTTCTAATTCTTGCAAGAAACATGTTTTAGTTTTACAACTAAAAATACAATACAAATATATTTTTAAAAATTCTGGCTTTGCTACACTGACTTGACTTTGTGCTGCTGGAAATCAAAGATTTTTCACACCTAAATGATATCCTACCCATGGCACCCCCATTTGTATCACCAGTTGTGTGGCAGCCCTGCTGCATGCATGTTTCTGCATGGAGTTGTGTAACCATTGGGCAAGTGACCTTAACCTTCCTGACCTCAATTTCCTCATTTATTATGAGGATAGTAACAGTCCTCTCCTCTTATGGTTGTGGTGAGATTTGAATGCGATAATACATGCAGAATGCCTGGTGCAGAACAGTTGCTCAATAAATGGGAGTTATTCTTAGAATCCCACGAAGGGCAGGAAATAGATTTGTACCTGTAGACCTCAAGATCAAACAGAGCGGGGTGTGCAGTTTAGAGGGGCTGATTTGTAGAGCGCAGCTGGTGAGCTTTCTACCTGATCCGATCAGAAGAGTGGTCATTTCTCTAAAACATCAGTTACCCGAGGGGAAGGTCAGTTTGATTTACTGACAGACACAAATAAAACAGATGAGGCTACAAAATGTTCAATTAATTTCTTTCAAACCTAGGTGATTAAATTGCCGACAAGGACTAGGGAAGGACACGAGTGCTCCATATCTTAGAGAATCTTGTAGAATGCTTTAACAAATATATAAGAATCATATATAATTGGCACGCGCTTTGTTTGAATGCAAACACTGCTGTTAAAGTGGTGCTTAAAAACAGTTTGTTGGCCTTCTCTTCGCACAGGAGAAACATTTCCATCGTTTACACGACTCTCTTGCTTAGCAAACCCTATTTATCCTACAATGCAGGCGTAATCTGCCCAACATGTCCAAATGCCCACAGATTCTGAATTAGAGGAGCTTGAGTTAATGGCGTCTTAGGCTGTCTCTCACAGGGACAAGCGTTTGCAAGCTGCCCACTCCACCAGTTTCAAGAACACTCTAAAAAGATGACCTCTTCCCTCCTCTTTCCCGTCTCTTCCCCCTTCCCGTGCTTCAATGCCAGCTTTCAAAGGAGACAGAGGGAAAAAGACTCAGAAGTGTATTCTTAGGACATTGGAATAGTTATTTATTGAGAAGCCACAGTTTTCCACATTTCCATAACTGTAGGCTTTATATAAGGCAAAAGCAAGATGGATCCACTACTTTACACAGAAAGAAACGGCTCTGCAGAGGACCCCAGGGTCGTGCAGTTACAGATCAAAATGCAATGTACATGACAGGTATAAAAAACAGTGTGGGACAAAATAATTTAAGTTATGGTTACAATCTACTGAAGGAAATATCCACATCTCATTATAAACACATTTATAGTCTAGGGTTGTAATTTTAATATTCAGGTTTTTTTTTTTTTTACATACACAGTTATTGAAACATGAAAGCAAAATATAACATTTAATAGGATAAACTTTGACAGAAAACAGTTGCTTGAACTGTGCTTTATGCTGAGTCATGATAGGATCAGCCTTGCTGGGGCAATTGAGAGGATCAATCCATTGGTACGTAGCCACCCTTTTTTTGGCTAACTACATGAATAAATGAAAGGGTGGGCTAATGAGGATGCCAGGGATTCATTTTTTTAGTTTTAGGGAAACATAAAGAACCAAAAGTTCATTGTTGGAGCCTTGCCTTTTTTTTTTTTTTTTCAAAACACACAGCAGAGCTATGTGCCTTCATTTAATCGATTTATTGTACTAATATAAATACCTGGCATCCACGTTCATGAAACAAAGGAGTGAAAGTACTTAGTGTACTAGCCCTCACCTCCATTCACCATCAGTGCATACATGGGATGTTAATGAAGCATCGTTTAACTTTGTTGATAATAAGGACACGCTTGCAGTTGGACTATGCATTTTCCATGGGCAGTATTTAAAGAATGGTGCTCCATATTGCTTGTAAACATGTAGACACGGAATCAGGAAATCAGTGGATTCGAAGGTCATTTGCTAATCTTGGTATCACATGGCTACAATGGCAGCTGCATTGGTAAACATCTCATGGGCATGGTAGTGGACAAAAAATTCCCTACTGGGGTTAACTAACAGACTAAGGACATGCATTGACTACGGGGCTCCGTTCTAAAGGACTCCTGGTCCGAGCTTTCTAATCGTCTTCTTCATCTTCCTCATCGCTGTCCTTCATGCTGATTCCCTGCAGGCCCCCACCCTCGCTCACTGACGCTGTGGCTTCCTCCACAGTAAGACGATTCCGGATGGTTTCATAGGTCTTGCTGTTTAAGGTGGAGTCCAGGACCCCTTGCAATCGGAAATCTCGATAGGTTTTCTAGGGAGGGAAAAGACGCAGTGATAAGGGAGATCTCGTCTCCACGAAGGGAGGGCAAGGACGCGGAGCAAGTGTGGGTGTGAGAACAGTGACCTTCAGCTAAGTGTCACACTATGAATTGTCAAGTGGAAAGCCACTGTGATCAGATTTCACTTGTACTCAAAACTGAGATTCATTGAATGACAGAAAATGAGAAATTGTGACAGGATAAACTGTATTAGATGAGACAAAGCAAAGAACAGAAGCTTGTGTTTATTCAGTTCCACCAAGGGAAATGTTCCATAATTGTTTTGGTTCCTATTTTTTTTTTTTTTTTGATCTGGTTCTTTTTCTTAGGTTAGTAAAATATAATATGATAGACGGTGTAAGGAGCTATAACATATAAATATTGGACCAAGTGATGATGGTATTTTGCGATTTCTGTTGCAATCTGGTCTTTAGTATTTTTGAGGCTTGTAACTGTGTATCCCTCTGTCTCCTGCGCAAGACAGACATGTGCATGTTGGTATATGAAACCTATCACGGGCAGTAACAATTATGGGGACGATGAGGCAATAATGCCACATCAATATGTTGCAGGCATGTGATTCATTTCTCATCTTCTTGGGGAAGAAGAGTATCTATTCCGTTCACAAACTTCATGATCTCAGGGAAGAAATTTGGCTCTTTTTCAAGAACAATGTTTTGGTGTTCCTGTGCCATAGATTCTTTCCTTGTTCCTTTAGGCGATTTCTCTCAGATTTCCTTAGGTATCCCAGGGACTGTTTTTCTAGAAATCCCTTAGCGTTAATTGAACATGACCAGAAGCATCTGGCTGTTGTCTACTTTCTAAACAATTTTTTTGAAAAAGGTCTTTCTCTAACTGCATCTCTTCTCATAACACTGCACATCATTTCAGTAACTGATCCTGCTGTGTTGTTCCTATTGATACGGGAAACTTGCTCAGGAAGCAAGAGAAAGAACGTGAACACCCTCTAGCCCCACTCCCATTGTGATTTCTGTGTTTATTTTTTTTGCAGTCCATCTAATGCAGTGTTAGTGTCGACAATCCGCACGTCAGCCCCTCTTGCAGTAATGACTGCAGAGTTAAATAGAGGATGCAGTTCAGCTCAGTGAGGTCCAATAATATAAGAGCATGGATGGGATGACCGCCTGTCTCCTCTGCCAGTTTTATATCTCTTGTCCCAGCATGATTATTCATAGCACCTTCTTTCCTTCTTAAAAGTCATCTGATTTCAACACTACATTAAAAGGTCATCCTAATTACGGGTCAAGCTGCAAGGCATCTAGGTAGGCTACCTGAACTGTGTCTTCACCTAGAGGGGGAAGGGCAGTAGGCTGAGTAGACACCAGCATGGTGTATACCAGAAATCCAAACGATTAACTCGATTTTTTTTGAATTTTTCAATCAGTTTTTCCATTGCCACTTAAAATAACATAATTTTTTGGTAGCGTGTGATAGGGCAAAGCAAGGTGGAAATCAGTTGAGGATCCTTGCCTTTATTCAAATTTCAGAGCAGTGTTCCCCAACTCCTCTAAATGCCTGAGGGCGAGGACCGTATCTAGTTATTTTTAATTCTCCATCTTGTAATATACAAGTAAGGGCTCAACTTACATTTATCCAATGCTGGATGAGTGAATAAATGCTTGCTGAATAATGAATGAACGGATGAATAACCAGAGTAGGTGTGGAGGCAGGAAAGAAAGCCAATTAATTATCTTTGGAAGTTTGCCTCAGAGGAGGAGACCTCTGGGTAATGTACTTGGTAAAGAGGTGCTTGGTAAATGAATCCTGCTTCATACCTCTGCGTGGTGACACTAGTTAAGCAGGGCCTGTCTTTGGCAAAAGCACAGGAGAAACATGATGTTCTGTGTCCCTTCCCTCTGGTTTATGTCTGTGTTTTTTGGCAGAAGGTTAAGGTTAAACCTCCTCTCTGATTCACATTTTTTTCTTAAAATATTGCAAATTTTGACATTCCCAGCATGGATCCAGAAATACCAGTAATGGGAAAATATTTTAAAATAGTAAAATTAATGTCTTCTTTTCATATCTACCCAGTAAAGGTCAAACAGAAAAATTTCCCCAAAGAGTATTTATACCCAGGAAATGGAATTTCAGTGGTCAGGGAATGGCTAGTGAGTTTGCCTAAAGGAATTGAAATTTCAAAGAAGATGAAAATCGGGCTGGGTCCCTAGTCTGAGTGCATATATTTCTTTCTTAGGAGCTGCGAATGTACTGACTGCTGCCTGTAACCTTCCCTGGGCGGATGCTTTGTGAGATCAACTGCGGATGATAATAATTCTCCTTAATTACACTCAACGGAGCAGTAATTGGTTTTAAGTTAGCACTGGGGTAGAGGAGCATCTTCAATGAAATGGTGCTAATCTGAAAGAGACTAAGAAATGGGGTGGGGGTAAAGAGGTAGTGGGAGACGACGGGGGGGGCAGGGGGACTTTTGACAAACTGTTAAGAAATAGAAATTCAGCTACGTTTTATTGTTGAAGTATTTTTAAAGAGACTTTGTGCTCTGAATGAGATTTTTGCATACGAATGTTTAAAACCCTCTATAGTGAAGCATCAAATGGAAACTGAAATGATCAAAAACGTATTTACCCCCTTCTGTGATCTTATTATTTCATGTAAACCACTGAGATTTCACGCTGAAATAATTATCATTAGTCCAAGGCGCACACACAAGAACAGGGAAAAAAGCTACTTTCGGGGTATGTTATCTCACCTTTGTGATCCTTTACATTTGATTGTATACACGCATTGTAAGAGAAACTACTTCAATTAACTATGGGAACAATATTAATTTGCATCCTGATAATGATCACAGGACATATTTAGAAATGGCTGGAGGTAAATATTTCTCTTAAATTAATTGTGGCAAAATGTTATTTAATTAAACCATACATAAATCGGTCATTGATGTGATTAGCATAATGGTACCAAAAGCTGGCTTTTGAAAGTCTAATGCAAAGGGCAGGATGGCCCCTGCAGTATTTCTGCATGACAAATACATAAAGTATTGTTCCAGTCTGCACAAAATATTAAAACCCTTTTTATTAGATTTTCCTTTGATGTTTGAGTAATAGATTAACTAGGCATCCCCAAGTGATTTTATAGATTTTTCTTGCATGAGGTACTGTTTTAGAAATCACCTTGTTTTATATATAGACTAATATTCTTTGTGTTAAGGAAGTTCTGCAGCTTGCCAATGAAATGTATGTCAGTAAGCCATTTGCAAAGAATAATAATTATTTTTTCTTTTACCTTTACCATCCTAATTAGTGTTTTCAACTGATAAATGTGAAGCTGTAAGTCCATCCGATCAGTCAACCAGGTGCAGATCACATTCATGGAGCTGTTGTACCATTGCTGAAAAAAGAGACAAAAGTTCTCCTGCCAACATATCACGGAGCATTTAGAGAGCAGAGAGGGAACAGGCCATGACTGAGCACCCCACTCTGTTCCAAAAGGAAACAAAATGGTTAGAGAATTTGACAGCACAGAGATCATGAACATTAATCAACACAAAGTCACAAGATACCAGTTCAGCCTGAGAGATTGTTTGGACTTTGTAACACAACTCTTTCAGATACATCTCATATACAGTCAATTTATACAGACCACCTTTTTTCCCTTCTGATTCTCCTTTTTGTTGGCTAGTTTTACTCAGTTGAGAGTCAAGTCATTATTTCCTAATGCCATTGTCTCAGGTGCCCAGGAAGAGGGGGGCTTCTCCAGTGAACTAACTGACGTCACTTGCTACTTACCTTTAGAAAAACCCAGATCTTGTCTGCTTAATATAATTCTGGGAATCAGGCTGAGAACCTTAGGAATTTAGGGCTAAGTTTACCTTTGTCTACCCTATCGGGATGTTTGGATAAGAACAATGAAGTAGGGTTTCTCTTTAAGGGCCAAATTATACCCTGGACAGCTTATGTGCCCTTACGTTGGCTATGCAATCTGTTTTAATCTTAACACCAAAAAATTATGGAAGATGAGAGAAAAAAAAACATCTACAAATGAGCTCATTTCAAGCTGTTGAAATCATACTTCCCCTTAAGGGGGTTAAATTTTGCTTCTTGTCTGTGAAAAATGCTTGAAGCTGTGTCACTTTAGACTGCCACCCCTGTGGTGCAGGAAGTCTCTGGTGCGGTATAATTTTCCAGTACTGCTCATATATTCATAAATCTCACTCAGAGACATATGAACAGTGTTATGAAGTGTCAGTAGGAAAAAAAAATCTAATCTTTTAAACTTCACCAGGTTTCATTACGCATTGCCGCTTACACCAAACAATTTACAAATAAAATGAAAAGGTGTGGATGGACCTATGTATTTATTTATAGGGCATCTATATGAACTGTGCAAAGAAAAGATGTAAAAAATAAAATAAAATGGCTAGAGAAGTGAGACGATGCACACTCTCATGCTAACCAACACACGCACACACACACACATCGCACACCAGTGGGGATTTGAAAAGCATAAATAAAAACATGTTTCTGATGGTAACTCCACCCTTTCTCACCTAAAGATCATCCAAAATCAGTTTATGCCTACCACTCACAGTTTTTCTGAAGCCTTGTTTCTGACTTAATTTCTTTAAAAAAAAAATTAATTTGGGTTTTTACTTGCAAGGTAGAACTGCCAAGTTTCACCTTGCAAGAAACGACACAGTCTCAGCCATGGCGCTCAGAAGCCCTCTTTGCAATCTCTACTTTCTAGGCTCCTTCCTCATCAGAGCCAATCGTGGCTCTCCTTGGAGCCCAGCCGCAAACAGAGACCACACCACCCCAATCAAGGCAGCACTGCAGCCTCACAGCCAACTTCTGCTCTTTTAAAGATCATGGAGACGAAACTGTCAGTTTTAGGAACCTTCTGTCCCTCCCTAGGGAGCAGGCGGGGTGGGGGGTGGGGATTTATTCTTGAGATTTGCAGTTCACTCCTTGCAGGAAGGGCGTTTGCCTGGTCAAAGCTGCTTCAGGCATGGACAGGTTTTCCCCTCTAGGAGTGAGAACATTTTACCGGAACTTTTTTTTTGGTGGGGGATAGTGGCTGTTGGGGGGTGTTTTTTAGCACCTCCTGCTTTGGGATGCTGGAGCGTTTGCTCTCACTGCATCCGGGCGTATTACGGGCGGGTCTGGGGACAGGAATATCACTGGGTCGCTGGTGTTTCCACGGCCCGACCTCACGCTCGGCAACTGGGGGCTCTTTTGTGTTCACCCTAGGCCTCAAATCCCGCATTTACTGGCTTAGTCTGACATGCAATCTGGGGGCTCAAATAATCTATTATGAGAGTCATGAGCAACGCCTCCCGCCCCTTCTGCCCCCGCCTCCTGGGGATGGAAGATGACCTTCAAGGAACCCGAGGGACCTCCTGGCCAATCTACACACAGGGCCTCCTGATGGGTGCGTCTCAGGGACACAGAAGAGGAATGTGGCACTCTGGCTTCTAGGCAGAGGTGGCATTTTGCTTTGGCTGTGACAACAGGCAAACCGGCGCTGGCTTATATCCCTGCCAGCAAGCCTTGTGCAACATGCCTTTTTCTCTTTGCTAAGAGATGTGCCACCTTTCAGGGGGAAGAAAAAAACCAACGACACCCCCCATTTTATATAAGTAATTCCCATACTTGTAAATGGCTTTTGGATAGTAAAAAATAAAAATAAAAATAAAAAGGTAGAATACTACCAATACTCCTTCTCTGCGGCTGACAGGGTGGGGAGGTAGATGGATATAGCAACAGATCAGTGTATCACACTCACAGATTCCCACCCCAGGAGAACAAGAAAGCCCTGGAACATCCATGCCTTTCCTCCTGGATCTCACATCTAGCAAAAGAAGTGTAAAAAATGTATGATGCCCCATTGGCTACGCATTTAAAGAGGCAAAAGGGAGTAAGTCACTCCTTTCCAAACCTTATGCTCAGTAGATGAAATTGGAGGCATGTTTGGATGCAGCACACAGCACTAACTTGGTTTTCCAGAAAGGCGCTTAAAGGCACTTGGATGTCGGAGAAAGGAGGCGCCGCTGCCTTCTAGAACTTTAAAACATTAGAGGTGAAAGGCATCTTCCATATTTAATCCTTGCAGAGGAGGAAACAGGAATCCAGAGAGGTGAGGTGACTTGTCCAAGGGCACACAGCTCCTGAGACCAGAAATGGCATTTCTCTTAGGATCAGGCACTGGACTGAAATAGCGGATCATCTAATTACTACTGCCTGCGAGGATATAACAGTGTGCTGCTCATGACAGCTTGTCCTGTGTATCTCCTGTGCTTTGGGAGCTAGAAAGAGGCCTTAGTGGGAGTTTTTACACCATGGAAATTGGCAGACACCACAAGGTGGGGCTTTCTCCCTCCCAGAAAGCCAGCTGTTCCCCAGGTATCAGCTCATTACTGGGAGTCTGGGTTGTCCCTGCTTTTCCTCATGCAACTCAGTGCTTATTAACCAGGTTTGTTTTATTTGAGATTGATGCTAATACACCAGATTTGTTATGATTCTTCAAAAGAGGATATTAATAAAACATTTTAAGTTCTTCCCATTTTGTTTTGCCATAGGTTCAGATATGCCTCTTCCAGAAAATATCCTAACACCTGGGCACTAGAATTTTGGTAAAATGTACTCTAAACCCTTAGAAATAAAAACTGTGAGCTGACAATATGTATGTAGTGAATATTTCAGTATAATCACAACTCCTCGGCTACCTCCTTTAATCCAGGTATATTAGTAGGAAATTTCCTAAATAAGCTTGCTTTGATCCTAAAAAACATTGCTCAAGAAATAAAACCCCTAGTATCCCGGGAACCTTTAAAGTATGTTCTCTGGGGATGATTCTGGGAGGGTTTTGGAGATGGAACCCAAAAGGACATCAATCACATCTACGGCCTGCAGCATAGTAGGGCCACTGGAAATGTGGGGACTTCTGCAGCTGCAACCAGATCTGAAGGCTCTATTTAAAAGGAACTGGAGGGCTGATCTTTGCCATTTCATTATTTCTTCCTTCTACAATGCAGTTGTTAAGAACGTAGTCCTTACCTGTCTTCTACCTGGGTTTGTGACCTTGGGCAAGTCAACTCACCTTCTCAGAGACTCAGTTTCCTGATCAGAAAAATGGGGATTAGCCAGGCTTTCAGAGGCGTTTTGATGACCAAATGAAGCTCTCATCACAGTACTTGGCATATAACAAGGCCTCAGTAAATGTTAGCTGTGGGAGGATGGGTTAAATAGGTGAAGGGGATAAAGAAGGACAAACCTCAAATTATACAATAATTTAGTCAAAGAGGATGGAAGTAGAGCAGAGGGAGTGTAGCTTATAGTATTGTAATATCTTCACATGGTGACAGATGGTAACTACACTTATCATGGTGAGCATTTAATAATGTATATATTTGAGGAATCACTAAGCTGTTCATATTAAATCAATATAATATTGTATATAAACTGTACTCCAATTGAAAAATGATAAAAAAAATAAATGTAGCTGCCACTACCACCACCATAACTTATCACCATCATCACCACTACCATGAAAATCATCACCACCATTATCTCTCTTTCTCAAACTAAGAAATACCACAAAACAAGGGAGAAAGCAGAGCAAGTGACCTCAGAAAGCCATGTGACAGTAGAGGAAACTATTCCCATTGCAGTGTCTCTGGAACTGTATGCATAAATCTTATAGGACAACATAAGGAGTTCTTAGGAATGAAATGCATTGTAAAATAGCTTTGTGGTGGATCACTCAAGTCTTTAAAACCATCCTGGGTGCAGAAAGCATGTTTAAAATGATACTGACCTGGATTTAAATATTAGATTAGAAGGATTCAGGCAAAAAAATGAGTAGTTTTTCAAACCCCATGTGAGTAGATTATATCTTCAGCTTGTGTTGGCTACTTATTCACTGGGTAACCTCAAGCTATTTAACTCTCTGACCCTCAGTCTCCTCTTTAGGTTAATACCAATACCTACTGCATAGGATTACGGTGAGAATTAAAAGAGATAATCACATAAAATGCTTAGCAGAGTGACTATCACATAGTAAGCTCTCAATAAAATTTAGCCACTCTTATAATTACTCAGCAACATGATCAGATATCCTTACGATATACAACACAAGGAAGTTTTCTTGACCCATTTCTAGTAGGAAAATAGATCATTAACATGTAGACATACTCAGGTCACACACTGTGCCCTGCAAACAAACTGTCATCATGCAGAGAAATCTTTGTGCACAACATGCCTCTTCTGTAATACCAGGTTCACTACAGCCAGCGTTAGGGTTAGACAAGAGAGGCAGGATCTTGTAAATGCAGGATCAGATACTCTCTTTAATTCATATTTTGATATTTTGTTCATCACAGATTTTTTGAC